TTTTCCACCAATAGCATCAGTCCACCATTTATCAGGAACCCTGTTCAGTGTGAGCAGTATCAACAGAATGCTACAGCAGGCAATAACTTCAATTTTAAGGCCCCTAGGATGGACAGAATGTCAAAATGTGGGGGTCACACATCTTTTCCATGTCTTTCTTTGATAAAGAATATTTTAAAAACTGTATTTGAGAATGGGGTAGGGAGGAGGTGAATGTTTCCCCAGCATCTTTCCTCAAACTCAGGCAAGAAACCACTAGATTAGACTTAACCTTACCTCTATTCTTTCCCATATGGCTTCATAGTTGTCCTGGTGTTGAATATCTTGCATTAGCTTCTGAATTAAAGCTGATTTTGTCGCAGAATGGCTTGAGCTCTTCTCAGAGGATGAAGGCCGCTCTGATTTCTCATCGGGGTATTTCTTCATGCCCGAGAGGGGCACACAAAGGTCCTCATCAGAGAGAATGTCACTCGGGGGCCCCGATTCAATGCTCTCCCCGAGAGAGGAAGCTATGTCACTGGATGAACTTGGGGACATCCTGCCTAGCCTTGTGTGTGTGTTCTTGCTGTGGTATGTTGGATAGATTTCAGAATCGGAATTCATTTCGGACAGTTCCCAGTCATCGATATTCTGGATGGGCTCTCCTCTGGGCTTCGGAGGCAAAAGCTTGGTGAGACTTTCCAGCTTCAGCGCCAGCACCTCTGTCTGTTTCAAGTGAGATGGCAGCGCTAGGTATTCATCAGAGCCGTACCAGGCCTCCACCACCTGACCGTTCTGGGTGACATGACTTGGAGCTGGGGAGCCATCGTTTTGACTTTCGTTCTGTGAAAGAAGAGGAACTGGAGATCTCGTGTTGTCTGAGCCAACAGAGGACTCACTGCTGTGACTGCAAGGGGGTGAGCTGGAGGCCTTGGACTGCGCTGGCGATTGCCCGCTCCAGTTTCTCTGATAGCGCAGCTCAGCTGAGGATGATGCTGAGGCAGAATCCGTTTCTGGTCTCACTGTGGCTTTGGGAGTCCCAGGAGGCACCACACTCGGCACCCCTGAGCCCCTGGTGGTTTTGGCCTGCTTTCCGGAACCGGTTCCTCGTTTAGGTGTTCGGCACTGAGGCACCTCTGCCAAGGTCTTATGTGGCTTTTTCAGTCGAGATTTCTCTTTATGACAGTCAGTAAGTCTTCCCAGACTGGAAGAAATTTCTTTAATGTGACTTTTGACTATGTTTTCAAGATTGCTAATGCCCACCTTGTGCAAACATTCGTAGGACTGGCTGGCAGCAGAAGGGCTGCTGGGGTAGGAAGACCGTAACACTAAGCAGAGTTTGGATCTGTCAGGGGGGTCCACTAGGGAGGGGGTGCTTCTGCTGAGCTCTGGCTTCAGGTCAATCGTCTGCCTCTTGCCACCACTGCCTTTCCGCTCATTGGCGCGAGTTTCTTTCAGGAAAAGCCCTCTTTTGGGCAATGAGGGCTGTGTGGGAGAGTCCTCATTATAATTAAAGCAATCGCGGATGGATCTCTTGGGAGTCATAATTTCACAAGGAACAGGCTGGTTTTTCTTTGCACCCAGCTGTGGAGAGGAAATGGGGTCTTGCTTTGCAGTCTCCGAAGGGTGTTCAGCAGAGCCTGTCAGTGTGTCCCCAAAGGA